CATGGGCCTCGCGCACTCGCGCATTTGACGCTACTTGCAAGACAAGCGCAAACACATCGCGGGGCTTTACTTCTATGGGCCGTTTCCCCACCTGTCTATCTTACACCCTGACCAGAGCCTCCTAGATAAGTTACACTATGCCTGTCAGCTCCGAACACTGGCAAGCGGAAGGGAGAGGGCAAATAGTACGTGTGATTGCCATGCGGTGGGGCCACCTAGGCGTACAAACCTGTCATGTAGTGAAGCCAGCCATTTCTTCCGTAGGAGATTCAATGATGTCGCCCCACAGCACCGACAGCAAGAAATCTAAATGTTTTTGACTGACAGCTCGGGACCAGCTCGCCGTTTTCAACGGAATATTACTTCTTATTTTCCTACCTTTTCACCCGCACACGACCCGGCGCCAACTAATTCTATGCGCGCGATTCATGGTGACCGCCAAAGCCCCAAACTGCCGCCGAAGCAGACGGTCAAGCGGCCAAGCGTTCTCCGCGTTCGCGCTGCAGAAGCGAAGCCTGGCCGTGCTTGCTTCGTAGTTTCGCATTTTGTCTCAGCGAAACTCGTTTGAATCAGGGCAGTCACATCCAGAACGGTGTTCGGCATGTTGTTAAAAAAACATAAATATGATATATCTTCAATAATAAGGTAAATACAACATGCCAGAAAAATAGACAAAAACGAACGTCCGCCAGGCAGCGCTACCTAGCTGAACGTGCATGTTGTGAGGTGAAACATCGGGCCTGGACGCGTCTTGGAGAGGAGCTGACAGGCATACCTCGGCAAACCTCACTCATGAGGGCCCTCACTCACCCTCACTCACCCTCATCTTCACAGGCGAGGTGAGGGTGAGTGAGTTTCTGAACCAGGAAAATTCATGAGTGTGAGGGTGAGTGAGGGTGAGTGAGGGCCGTGAGGGCTGTGAGGGCAGTGAGGGCCGTGAGGGCCGTGAGGGCCGTGAGTGCCGTGAGGGCCGTGAGGGCCGTGGGGGCCGTGAGGGCGGTGAGGGCGGTGAGGGCGGTGAGGGCTGTGAGGGCGGTGAGGGCCGTGAATGCGGTGAGGGCGGTGAGGGCTGTGAGGGTGGTGAGGGCCGTGAGGCCGGTGAGGGCCATGAGTGCGTGAGGGCGGTGAGTGCGTGAGGGACCTTACGTGAGGCGCCCTTCAGGTCGAGCATCTTTCTCAGCAATTTTGGTGTTAATGGCGGGTTGTTCTCTAGCTTTCCCTAGATCGACACGAATTGCTGAGATCGGGTCCGGCTCGAAATAAGCAAGCAACTCGGAGCAATTCGAATACGTTTGAACCGGCTGCATCCAATCAGGGACGCAAAATTTTCACGTGATACCTGGTGACGGTGATGATGACACCCAAAGACTTGGTTCTGGTTTGAAATCGATCGTTTTTTTGGAAATAAACTGTTTCAGAAAGGTGCATTAGTATTCTTAACGAGATTTAAATGCATAAAAACACGTTTATAACGCGTAATTGTGTCTAAATAGTGCAAGAAAAATAAAATTTTATGATGACGATGGCAAATTGCAGCAATTGGATGCTGCGTGTGATCGCGGGCGGCCCGTGTTGCTGGTGTTGCGACGTAAAGTTTTTGGGCGAAATTGCCCCATCTGAGGCTGGCCTGAGTGGCGTGAGGGCCATGACTGACGTGAGGGGCGTAAGGGTGTGAGGGCCGCAAGGGCGGTGAGTGGCGTGAGGGCGGTGAGTGGCGTGAGGGCGGTGAGTAGCGTGAGGGCGGTGAATGGCGTGAGGGCGGTGAGTGGCGTGAGGGCGGTGAGTGGCGTGAGGGCCGTGAGGGCGTGAGGGCGGTGAGTGGCGTGAGGGCCGTGAGGGCGGTGAGGGCCGTGAGGGCGGTGAGTGGCGTGAGGGCGGTGAGTGGCGTGAGGGCGGTGAGTGGCGTGAGGGCCGTGAGGGCGGTGAGTGGCGTGAGGGCGGTGAGGGCCGTGAGGGCGGTGAGTGGCGTGAGGGCGGTGAGTGGCGTGAGGGCCGTGAGGGCGGTGAGTGCGTGAGGGCCGTGAGGTTCAGTGAGGGTGAGTGAAGGGCTGAAGGTGAGTGTGACTGTGAGGGTGAGGATGAGTGAGGGGCTGAGGGTGAGGGTGAGTGAGGGGCCTAGGTGAGTATGGCTGTGAGGGTGAGGGTGAGTGAGGGCGACCTAAAATGCCGACCTCTGCTGACAGGCATAGTGTAACTTATAGCGAGTTCGTTTCACACGCACTGGCACCGTTCGGGTTCTCTCCCAGAATGCATCGCCCTCACAGTGTTGCATGGAAAACTGGGCTCAACCGAACTCTCCAAATGCACCAAGTGCAGAAGACTGATGCTGCCGCCATCTATGTTGTAGAAAAGGTACCGACTTCAAACCGAAACCAGCGCCTTTCTGTTCGGAGTGATGCGTGGGAACGCGAAAATGCAGGTCGCTACCAACGTTTATCTACAAACGTTGGTCGCTGCAACCTGTAGTTTATAGTTGCGATGACTTCAAGCAGCTAGGCTGCCTTAGAGATAATTACAGACGGCGTAAATTTCCGCAACTAGCTGTCTACAAAGCAGGTGGTTGCGATCTTTTAATTCTTATAACCGTTTACACTGAAGAAAAAAAATCTGATGATGCTGTCCGAGTAGAAGCTTGATCCGTTTGAGCATGGTATTATGCGTGAACCACTGAAAGGGTAAGGCTTAAAACTAGCCTGTTGGAATATCCAGCAAAACTGGGACTTTCGATTTGGATCGTCATTACAGGTGGATTAGATATTAGCCTTGGTGAGGGCGTTGAGAACGAGAGCTTTCTCGAACAAAATACGACGGGGCGAGTTATCCGACGTAGGTAAATGTTAAACATGAAGATGTTGCCCAATCCTCGAATAAAGTCTCCATCTTTAGCTTTCTCTGATGCTTATTGGGCAGTCAGAGGTTTCTGCTGGGAGAGTTTTGTCGACAAATGTTAAATTTTTCACCCGCACACGTATGTTGATAGACATCTCGGGGGCTGCTGTTGCGTTTGTTCTGAGAATTTCTTTACACAATGGTATATTTCAGCGTTTTGTTCGGCAACAGAGCGATTTAAAACCTGCAAATAAATCACGGGTTGTCAATTGCTTCCTTCGTGAAATAGCAGACGCTCACAATTCAAGCTCGCGTTTGATTTCGTTGACCGCGAAACGCGATTTCTCTCAGAAAATCTACTTTTTCTTTTTCCTTTCGGTTCCGCGACACATCGTAGCAGACGAACCCTCGTCGTCTGCTCCCGCTCCTCGCCGGCCCCACCGGAGCGAGGCATGACGGGATTGCATTTTGGCGCACTCCCGATTTTCTCGGTGCAGCGAGTGCATGCACGCGTGGGGTGTCAGCGCTGAAACGAACTCGGAGAGTGCAACCACTCGTGGAGTGCCGGCCGAAACGAACCCGTTCCACGCTGCGAGTGGGCACCTATGGTGGCCACCATAGAGTTATTATAATAACTCTATGGTGGGAACGCGTGGGCACGAGTGCCGTGAAACGAACCCACTACCCTGACCTATGCATAGAATTCAACTTTGTTCTAATAGCCTTGTGCATCATGATTTCTCTTCCATGCCTTATTTTACTTTGAATACCGAGGTGTGTCTGTAATTTGTTTTGTTATGACTGATGTGTCACTCCTGTATTTAACGTCTTTGCATGTTGTACTAACTTATAGCGAGTTCGTTTCACGGCACTCGTGCCCACGCGTGCCCACTCGCAGCGTGGAACGGGTTCGTTTCGGCCGGCACTCCACGAGTGGTTGCACTCTCCGAGTTCGTTTCAGCGCTGACACCCCACGCGTGCATGCACTCGCTGCACCGAGAAAATCGGGAGTGCGCCAAAATGCAATCCCGTCATGCCTCGCTCCGGCGGGGCCGGCGAGGAGCGGGAGCAGACGACGAGGGTTCGTCTGCTACGATGTGTCGCGGAACCGAAAGGAAAAAAAGGTAGATTTTCTGATAGAAATCGCATCCCGCGGGCAACGGAATCAAACGCGGGCTTGAATTGTGAGCGTCTGCTATTTCACGAAGGAAGCAATTGACAACCCGTGATTTATTTGCAGGTTTTAAATCGCTCTGTTGCCGTCCAAAGGCTGAAATACACCAGTGTGTAAAGAAATGCTCAGAACAAACGCAACAGCGGCCCCCGAGATGTCTATCACCATCCGTGTGCGGGTGAAAGATTTAACATTTGTCGACAAAACTCCCCCAGCAGAAACCTCTGACTGCCCAATAAGCATCAAAGAAAGCTAAAGATGGAGACTTTACCCGAGGGTGGGGCAACATGATCATGTTTAACATTTACCTACGTCAGCTAACTTGCCCCGTCGTATTTTGTTCGAAAAAGCTCTCGTTCTCGACGCCCTCACCAAGGCTAATATCTAATCCTGACGATCGAAATCGAAAGTCCCAGTTTTGCTGGATATTCCAACAGGCTAGTTTTAAGCCGTACCCTTTCAGTGGTTCACAAATAATACCATGCTCAAACGGATCAAGCTTCTGCTCGGACAGCATCATCAGTTTTCTTCAGTGTAAACGGTTATAAGAATTGAAAGATCGCAACCAGCTGCTTTGTAGACAGCTGGTTGCGGAAATTTACGCCGTCTGTAATTATCTCTACGGCAGCCTAGCTGCTTGAAGTCATCGAAACTATAAACTACAGGTTGCAGCGACCAACGTTTGTAGATAAACGTTGGTAGCGACTGGCATTCTCGCATTCCCACGGATCACTCCGAACAGAAAGGCGCTAGTTTCGGTTTGAAGTCGGTACCTTTTCTACAACATAGATGGCGGCAGCGTCAGTCTTCTGCACTCAGGGCATTTGGCGAGTTCGTTTGAGTCCAGTTTTCCGTGCAACACTCTGTGAGTGCGATGCATTCTGGGAGAGAACTCGAACGGTGCCAGTGCGTGTGAAACGAACTCGCTATTAGCTTTCACGATGTTTCGGGTACGCAATAACATGGCCTCCGAGATCCCGAAGCGCGCGCGCGCGCTTCGGGATCTCGGAGGCCATGGCAATAAATACCAATATCAATTCTTACTGACCAGGTGGCGCGGAATGCCGCCCGTTTCAAAGGCTTCAGCTTCAGCCGTGTTCATTGATCCACCGTACGTTTTGAAGGCAACAACAACCGCATCGCGCGAAAGAGAAGTTTCACGTTCAAGGACTCACTCAACAAACAGGTACTGTTCCCAAGACTGAATCGTTTGTTAGGCGCGAGGCAATAGCTTTGAAATATACTTCGCAAGGCCCTGCTCACGGCCGTGGCTTCATGTGAGACTGCTTCAACGTCGACTTTTCGCGCTTTTGCGCACGAGTAGCGTCATCTGAAGCCGTGAAAACGGCGGGCTCGCCTGACCGTTCTAACCAATTAACAGACCAATTAAGATCTAAAAAAGAAAGAGAAGAAAAGACTCGCAGGTAAAGGAGTAGTGGATTTGGGTAGGCCCTGGGCTTTGCTGGCGAGGATGGAAGAACGGCGGAGGGAAAATTGAATGAAGTAAATAAAACTGATCAGCACAGCCGGGTACTTACAGGCGGGACAGAGCAAACTTGGGAATTCCTCCCGCGTGGCTCCGGCCCAATGCCTCAACCCTTTCCTCCAGTGGGTTCGGTGTTGGGGTAACGCCGGCAAGGTCTGACATGTGGAAAATTTCGCGGGGGGAGGGGATCGGATCTTTGTAGTTTCTTTGACCGATGTTGTAGTTTTAAACGGGCAGCGGGATCGAAAAAGTGCCTTGAAGGGCCGATGGATCCATGGATGTAAACGTTTATTGTTGCAACAAGGAATTGTGTGACACGGGCTTGGTCTTCACACGCTGAAGTCCCGTATGGAAGGACGACCCCAGGCCCGACTCCTCTGGATAGAGGAGCAGGGACTCCAAGGCAATATTAACTTCTGTAGGGTCTCCAGGTGCACTAATCCACTTTTCAAGGGTGACTGGCCTTGGATTGAAGGGGGGAGGGAATCAATGGCCTTTTTCCTGATTCGAAGAAAGTGTTGGCAGTTCCATAGGAAATGGATGAGGTCTGCTGCGAGGGTCTTGAGGCAGTGAGGGCAGGCTTTGGGCTTGGTAAGGTGGAAAAGCAGGGCTAAGACTGATTGGTCTTTTTTTTTTTTAATTTTTGCTGGTTTTGCTTGCACTGTCTCTCCACAGTCTTCTGGTGTGGGGAGTAAAAGAATTAGATGATAGAATCCTTCTCAGAAGCACAGCACAGTACGTCTCCTAGACAAGCCTTTGGGACGAGTCTCATGGAAGAGAGCCAAGCAGTCGTTTCTTTAGTTCTTGCCTGGTTTTCGTCAAGGTTCCTTTGGGGCCGTACCTCTAGCCGTCTTCAAGTGAGCTTCCTGGCGGGGAGGAGTCCCTGGTTGGCTGGGAGAGGAGGTACATTACCATCTCTCCTGCAGCCAGGTGGGCCGCCCTGTTCCCGGGAATCCCAGTGTGGCCGGGGATCCCGTGTATGGTGACCTGGCCGTCGTGCAGTTGTCTAGCCTTGTTTGCCATGAAGAGAATCCTCTTGATTGTTGGGCTGGTGGGGTCATATGTCCTGCATTATCTTATGACATCCTGAAGATCGGTTTACATGAGAATCGATTTGAGTGCTTTCCACTCGCTTTTGCAAAGTGTGTGGTAATTGGCTCTGTACATTACCTTAGACGCGTGTACGGTTTCGACTAAGATCGTTGCAATCTTCTCACTGGCTCCTCATTTTCTGGGCAATGCCTCGAATGAGTGCTGTGCCCTGCTGGGCGATTCCACGTCAGTTCATGCAATGATGGTCTGGGTCATAATTTTGATATTTTTGTAAAAAATATATATGAAAGCCATGTTCTTGGGAGGAACATTCAGCTATACATAAATGCCGTAACAATTTTTTTTCGCTGAGTGAAGCCCAAGGCGTGGAAATCAAGAAGACTTCACGATGCTACTTTGCACAGTCGTCATTTTCTCATCAAAGCTTTCACGTCACAATAATGTTTTTAATACATTTCACGACACATTCACAAAAAAAATTAAAATATCAATGAAATATTTTTTGGAAGAAAAAAAATCAAACATGGCATAAAAACATGTTTTAGATACATTCACAATTTTTTTTTTCAAATAAACTGTCTTTTATAATACTTCACAAAACATGTCAAAATGTGTGTCTTTAAATTATCTTTGCGAATATATGAAGGTAATATGCCCACCCTTAATTGTCTCCTTTTATTAACTTGGAAATGCAGCTGATTTCTCAAAATGTGGCAAGATTGGCGGTGATATTTAAAAAAACTCCATCTTTTATTTGTTTTTAACTTTCCTTGGCACTTTGCAGTGACTTGAACTAACTTGTAATGGCAAAACATTGAGTAACATATGACCTCCAAACGGGGAAAGCTACGACAAACCTTCACTCCGAGCGAGCCAACGTCTTCGTCATAGCGGCTTTGCCGCACAGCACCAAACATTTTTAGCGTTAGTTATGGCATGTATTTTATATTTTTCAAATTCTTTTTTCATAAGGGGTGGGTATAACTGACACAAAAAGGGACTTTGAGCTGGAATACCATTACTTTGCTTACAATTCACAAAAACAAAAGGGCCCCACTCTGCAAATTCGCTAACTATGCATACATAAGGTTAAATCTCTCAGTTGCGCAAGTGGCCACGTATACATCCGGCCTCTCGGCATATGATGACTTCCACAGATGAGATGCCTGAATTCCTCTCACAGCTTTTACGGTGGACCACTCTACTTGCTTCGCCGCACAAAACTCTCGAACCCGTTCTGCAGACAGGTGGAACATGCAGACATTTGTTACTTTTTCACGCAGCACTTCCACAAAGTCTTTAGCGGTGACAGTCGCTGAGTTGAGCGAAGATCTCAAGTTGGTGAGCATTGCATAGTGTTTAAGAACACCACCTACTCCATCACAAGCGCTTTTTCCGTGTTCAGTGGCTGAAAAGATCCATCTTGCCGAAGCGTATGGCTTCCGAGACAATTCATGCAATCGGAAGCGATCTTGAAATGCGCCGTCGCTCCGTCTGATACAAAAATTATTTCATGAAAGACTGGGTAGTGTTCATCAAGGTATACTCTTCTATGGCCTCCATGGCTAGAAGAGCGTGAGCTGTGTCATGTGTCGTGTCATCGCTGACAACGGCAAAGCTTTGCGTGCCTTGCGTGGACGTAACCACACATGTGAAGAGTGACACTTGAGTTTTTTTTCCAATGAAAACTCTGCACTTCGGTTGAGAAGATTATTGTCCAATTTTCCGCAAAATCGAAGTCAAACATCATTGCCTTGGGTAGTAAGGCGGTTCTTGTGTCACAAATCAGGCTTCGTTGAAGGTAAGGGATGTAAAAGTGCCTCATACACTTTTCGCTCCATGACTCTAGTTCCCTTAGGAAGGCGGAAGTGTCCATAACCCTTTTGACGAGTTCGCTGGCATCCCATAACGCAAAACAGATCTCTTCGTCTTCGTCGAGATGGAACGACTGTAGCGATATGCTCTGAACTTTTGGGCACTTTTCACAACGGTGCAGAAAGCAATCGTTCTGTGGAGCGCTGCAGAGGTAGATGCGCTTGAGGTTGCCTTTAGTAACTGTCTTCTTTGAGCCATTTGTTATTGCCGTTAAAAGCAACTGAAAATCGATGCAATATATGCATGCGCAGACCTCGTGCTCGGGACATTTTTTTGCCCATTTTGGTCGTAGGGAATAGAACTTAGAGATGCCTAGTTCTCGATGGGGATGGTCCTTCCTAAACAGCTGGTAAGCTTCCTTAATAGAGAGGGTCATAAACCTTTTTACGACTGGTTTTGTTGTCGTTGATCATGGCTTTGACGACGTCCTTTTTGTTGGGACTTTGAACAGGGCATGCGAGGTCGTTGCGTGTGTAGTACTCAAGTGCAACCCTCACGTCTTCGGCATTCACCTTTTTCCCCATGTAAGGATCAGGGGTTGCCCATACACCACCTTTACGCTTCAGTTTTCTTGTTCGATCAATCATGTAGGCAGTTGCTTCTGGCACCAGAAGCAGTATTTCTTTCTTCAAAATGCTTGGTGGCAGGAGCGTGTACAATCGCTTGCGTTACTGGTGGGAATTGCGTGCCTTCAGCGCTTCACGGAACGCATCAAACCACTCCGCGCAGTGCTCACAACTGTCTTTGCCGGTTTTCAGGCCATAAACGCTTGACTGCTTTCTTCTAATCAAAGAACTCACTTGAGCTTGATTTGTCTAAAATATGCTTCGCACCTTTTTTTTATTGGTTTTACATGGTTTCAATGGAATTACCAGCGGACTAGCAGCACACAAGTTTTGACTCACTTCAGCCAGAATTTCATCAGAGTCCCGGAAAGAAGAATTTGATGTACTGGCGTTGTGAGGAGAAGCAATCTCTTTCTGGGGGTATTTGTAGCAATGTTGGCATAAAAGGTCAGATTCATTCACTGTCCGTGAAGCCAGTAGTTTTTCTAACCGCACTTTGTTGAATCTCCCTACAGGTACAAGGTGCTTATCGCTGTACATTTTCTTCTTGTGTCTTCGTAGATAGTTCACACAGAACATTCGCACGGTGCTGAATCGTCGGGCCATTGCTGTTCGATCTGACACTAAACTCTTACTCGCTTCGTAAATGACAGAACTTGAAACGCCCTCGCAAACGCCTTTTTGAGAGATTCTGAATTCCTCTCTCTCGGCTCCAAATATCCGGTCAGAGTTCTGAAAGAAAATGTCCTTGTGGTTATCAACTTCTCTCTTCCCTCATAGATATAATCGGTGCGTCGTGCATGTTTAAGCTGGTGTTGTTTGCTTGTAGTCCCACTTATTGAGCACCAAAGACACCGAGCAGTCTATGTATGATTGCTCATTATGTTAAAAGGACACTGACAGGGTATTATGCTCGCCAAGGTTTTCATTTTAAAGCGCAGCTTTTAGACGCCCGTTTCCGGCTTGAGCGGCGTCGGCGTAATTGTGCGGTGCATTATGGGTAGGGCTCCGTGTTTTCGGAGTTTATTTTTCGTCAAATTCGGAGGGTATTTTTCGGAGTTTATTTTTTGTCGAAGATTCGGAGTTTATCGGAGTTTATATTTGTTTGACTCCCAATTCTCCGAAATTGGGAGTTTAATTTTGCAGTGTTTCCTATTGAACATAAATATGTATATAATAACCGGATGTAAACGTATGCCAAATAAAAAATAAAATGTGCTTGTATCGATTAAAATTGCTTCAGTTGATTTTGACGTTCGTGCCATTGCCATTGGCATTATTAATTTGTCCCACTACAAAAGTGTTGCTTCGATAAACGTCGATATCTTAAAATCAATAAACTCCCGGGGGCAGTCGCTAGGAAGCTCGTAGTCATCCCATCCTATTCCATCAATCTAGCCCGCGGCCGTGCGAGGTGGAGTGGTTAAGGATGTAATAGAAAGTTTCAACTGTCCCACTTCTCTATTTAATACAATCTCTATGGTCCATAGCTTTCATTGTTACAAAAACATACCCTCTCCTTTCTCTAAGTCACAAATCGCATGGCTCAAACTGGAAACAAAAGAGTGGCTTTTGTCGTGACCCGAATGTACTATGACCTGCTGCCCTGAACCAACCTCGACGATACAAGCGGCATGACCCCTTTTGACAACGGTCTGAGATTTGAAAAATAATTATGGTGCCATTTTCTCAGGACCATTGACTCTGTGCTGATCAAATTGTTAAAAATAAATAAATGTCTTTTACTTTTTTTTTGCGGGGGGGGGGGGGGGGGGGGGGGGGTGGCATTGGCACATAAACATTCGGAGTTTATCGGATAAATCCGAATTGACCAAAATTTTACCCGCTCGGAGTTTTTCGGATTTATCCGAAAACACGGAGCCCTAATTATGGGAAATGTCCCATAATGCAATGCGCAGGACTCGTGACGTCACGACGGTCACATGACGTCATGAGGGTCACATGACGTCACAACGGTCGCATGGCGTCACGAAGGTCACGTGATGCCACGAGGGTCACGTGACCTTTGTGGTGTCACGTGACCCTCGTGGCGCCAGGAGAAGGGAAGACGGGAGGAGGAAGGGTATACCCTCCCCTCAGTGCCCTTCCCTCCTCCTCCTCAAGAGCTGCGCTCTAATTCGGCATTACAGGGAGTTGTAAACGTCTTTCATTTTTTACATGACATATGAGAGCCCAACGACCCAGAAAACAATTCGCGGCTCGAAATTCGTTTTCATTCCACCTCAAAACCGCTGATCGAGAATTGGCCGGTTTGAGTCGAGCTTACTCTCTTCTCCGTGGTCACGTGCAGTTTTCTATGGTTTAGACACAACCTCCAAATGTAATCTAACTTGTCTGCCATCGAAGGTACGCACACAGTATTAAAAATAGAAAAGAAATATGATACCCATTTCTTGTGGCTTCTAAAAAGCTGCAAATACGTTGATTGGGAAAAATAAGTTGCATAACCACGTGACCTCCTGCAACTGTCTCCTCCTCTATATCTCTTTTTCCTCCCCCATTTTGGTTTCGGTTTTGAGCAGTTGTGTTTTTTTACTTGATTAAAATAATAAGTGACGCTGAGCAAAATATTCATTGGGTAGTCTTCGGGCAGCATAATAAATTGCCTGGCAAAAAAATAAAAAATAAATTTTGAGGGGTGTTAGTCTCCCATTACAGGGAGATGCGGATCGAAAAATGGAAACTTTTGCAAAAAAATTTACTTAGGGGTTTTATGGTGTTTAATTATCTTTGATTGATATTTTAATATAAGAAAAGTAAGGACCATTAATAAAGCGAAATTAGTCAAATAAGTATTGTAGAAACTGGCAGCCCAGAACTGCATAAATTAGAGCCTTTATTGTGTGCGCGGTTCTTCAAATGGTTGTCGTTGGCACCACATTGTCTACGCTTATCGCAGTCTTCTGCAGCATCGATTTCTGGCAAAATTATTAACAAAAATTATTTCTCCCTACGGTAACATTCAAACACATTTTTCCTTTATGTAATTTTGGGGTCATCTTTGCAGACAAGAGCTTTTGTTTTTATTATTGTCCTATACAACCCCATTGGACCCCATTGGGAACACCCAATGGGGTCCAGCTATAGAGTTACCTCAGATTTGGTATAGTGCAAGCCCTAACTCCTTTAACTGTTAGTATTTTTACCATACTGGCAATGCCAAAAAGGACGTGGTTGTTTTGAGACACCTTTAAACTCTAAGTCAGGTGGCACAGGCTGCCATCCATTACTAGACACAGGCATTTCCTTTCCTCATCCATTCATTATAGTTATCCTGAAATTACGAAATCCTTGGTGTCTCTTGTGTATTACTCTCATAGGTGTCTGAGTAGCTTGTGGTGTTGGAGGGTGTGCTCATTTTGTTCTTAATTGCTGTCATTACTCATTGCATTTGGTTCCTAGCATCTCAAGTGGTCCCGTGCGTCCCTCTTGATCTTACGAGACTCCCTACGAACCTGACCTTGGGCCGCGATTGGAATGGAACCAATTCAGTCCTCAAGTCGTGGTGAGTTTTTTTGTTTGTTTCCATTTCTTTTGTAAATAGAGGGCAGTGTCGGTGTCTAGACTCCAGGCGGTCATGGTCTAGAGCAGTGCTTCTTGTACAGCTGTCCAGAGACTCCTTGGGGTCTGTGCCGATTCGGAGATCCTCCACCAGGGGAGCAAAGAGGCCAGATGAAAATGTGCAGGGTGATTGGGTTTTTCTTCCAAGGAGAGGGAGGCAAGCAGCGAAATTGAATTTGAGGAGAGGTGCCTGAAAGCGGCGAATTAACGTTGGGCAAGCTAAGCAAGCTAACAAAATCAGTTAAGAAGGCAGTGAAGTAAGCGGAAAGAGATATGAGAGAGTTGAGATTGAAAAAGAAGCCTACTGTGCAGAAATATTTTGATTAAGAAAATATAACTTCTTTGGCAATTCAAAAAGAAGTTTGCTCTTTTTGTTTGATCTTAGGATCCCAGGAATTGAAACTTATGGTTGTGCAACGTCTATTTCCCTACTAAAAATGTGGTAGAAGTTTGTGCCATGCCCCTTTCTGAGCAGAAATATCTGGAGCACAAAATGCAGTCAAGGTGCCGGCGGCGTGACCACGGGCACACGTCAGCCAGTCACAAGGATCACATCTTTAAAAGGGAAATAGACGTCGCGCAAGCTTAATTTTTGGATTTATAGGATGCTTGGAGCATGTAAGATAAGTTATCACCACATTAGATTATTTGCAGACGATTGCGTTTTATACAAAGAAGTTAAGTCCTATCAAGACGAAATAGCTTTGAATAATTGCTTTGAAAGGATACTTTCTTGGTGTTGGGAATGGCAAATGAAGCTTAATACCTCAAAAACTCTTTCAGTGTCCATTATGTGAAAAATGTGTCTCCTGGAATTTGTTTATTGTATTGATGGTCAGCCTATTCAATCCGTTGGAGAGTACAAGTATTTGGAGTTATATTTTAGTTATAAACTCTTTTGGGACAAGCACTTTGATTACATTACAGACTATGGTCTTTAAAACGTCTCCTGAGGCACTTTCCTCCAACACAAAACTAGTTTATAAAACAATATTCAGGCCAATTTTAGAATACGCAAAGGTTGTCTGGGACCTGTTCACTAAAATTAATATTAATAAGCTAGAAGGCATACAAAGAAGAGCAATACGGTTTGTTTACAACACAAATGAAACACAAAGCTTCCCTTCAGAAATGGTGCAACAAGCTAACCTACTAACATTAAGCGAAAGAATGTAGAGAGATAGATGAAAGATACTATTCTCAAGGATTCAGGGTAAATTAGACATTGGCATTTCAAGATTCATTACATTTTGAGGTAGATTAAGCACTAGATCATCTCATGCATATTCAATGCTTAAGTATCAAGTACGATTGGACACATTGAAATACTCCTTTTTCCTTAGGTCAATTGTTCAATGGAACAAGCTGCTCGCTGATGTCACCAATTCAGACTGTACTGACTATTTTATCGATGAGGCCACTATCTTTTTTCCAAAATAGATTGAATTTTGTTTTCTCACGTTCAGATGGTTTGGTAATATTTATTGTTTTGTATGCTGGGTGCTATATATATTGCATAATGTTTTGGAACACATTTCTTCACGCTGATGTCACCAATTCAGACTCTATGTCTTGTTAATATTTATTGTATTGTATGCTCGGTGCTATATATATAACGTATAATGTTTTGGGCCACATTATCCCTGGTGTTCAATTGTATTCTTTTTATTTTTTCTATTGTTTTGTGCCTCCTACCACAGCCCTTTGGGCCAGGTAGTATTGATAAATAAATAAAATAAATAAAGAAGAGACAATCACAGGAACATCTTCAGTGCACCTTTAAACAAATTTCTCATTTTTAAGCCGATTTAAATAACTATGTGTTCCTGACTCTTAGGGATACGGGCCATTCGTAGAAAGACAATTCGTAGTAGGGCAACTCGTAGCAGGGCAGTTCGTCACTGGGGCAACTTGTTGAAAAGTTGGAGATAATGTTTAAAAATCATGTTGCCCACATACTAGCTTTTTTAGCGTTCGGTTGCTTTTGTTATTCAGCTTCTGTGTAGCGTTCTGTTTAGGAAGTTTAGTCTTCTGTTTCTTTACAAGTTGATTAACATTTTACTTAACCTTGGAAGCACAGAATATAAAACTTTCAGGTCTCCTTTGTAATCCACCTCCACGTTTTCTCTGCGCATGTGCGACACGGAAAGGATGTACCTCGTCCGCATGCGTGACAGACATGCGCATGCATGACCAAAATGTTTATCATCCCTTTTTTCCATTAGCAACACAGGTGCCAGGATCGTGGTGGACAAGACATAATTAGTCAGTGTCTATTAGAACTTAGTAAAAGTCTAATTTCTTCTGTCGAGAAAAAAGTAAACAAATCAAAAAAGGGGGTTGCTGGTAATTGTACACATTTAGAAAATTCCCGTGAAATACCTAGGAAGCGCCTACCCCACTTTCACTGAAAACTCTGTTAATCTTGACATGGGCGCTTGTTCAGTCAAATCGGTAAAAACCAAGATGGCAGTAAATGAAGAGCTTTGAAGGTAGGGAGGGTGAATGGAATCTGAGAAAGCACATTTATTTTCACATCGTGGATGATGGGGTCCCCTTATCATTTATCATGCGAAAATAAATGACCTAGTACTTATTCATTTTCACTGAACCCAGAAAACAACTCATCTGAGTCAGTGCAGAATAGGAGGTCATTGCGCTCATGACAAGTAGTTTTTCCCTTTCGATCGCAAGAAAGTGGATATTCCCGTCATCGCCACTGGCGGTTTGTGGCTGCCGTAAAGGGGTGAATATTTTCGGCTGATGCCGGCGCTTTGGGGAGGGTGGGCACTCAACATACAATTTGCAGAATTCCCAAGTTTGAGAAATGTTAATAGTGGGCGCTTGCACGAAGTGTGCGTTTCTGCAATATTTTACGGTGTTCTCGATAAGCATCAGAAACGCTTAAAAATAAGAAATATCGGTTAACAGTTCGATGAAGGGTCATTGTGACAAACTACCCTATGGCAAAGTGCACTATGTGACGATTAGGCCTGTCACCAGTTGACGTGTTGCAAATTGTCATTCAACAAATGGTCCTACAGCTGTTCCTGACACATGTACAGTTGCCGAGTGATTTTTCGGACGTCGATTATTCGGACGTTTTTGCCGAACCGTCACTCACCTCATAAAGTTAATGTATAGGGTGGTTCAAGTCACCAGGCTCGATCTAAAATGGACCGTAAAAATCGACGCCTGCACGTAGCCATCCAAACTTTTCGTCAAAGGTGTAATTCACAGGTCGGTCTTTCCTTGTAAAATTACAAAGCGTAGCTCTCTTTCTGTAAAAAATAAGGCCAAGAAACTTGCCAGGGTCTTTGGCGGGCAGCAATGCAGACAGGGGTTCAGTAGTGGGGTGTGTTTGGCGTTCATATTGATAGACGGCGCTACCTCCTCATCGCGACGGCTCGCGACTACCGTGGTTTATTAAAATGAATATAATCCTTGTGAAATGTACCTTTGGGTAAAAAAATAAATGCGAACAATAAAAGCAAAACTTAAAGTCAAAAAAAGCGTCTGCATAACGGCGGCGCTTTTGCTGCCAACGGATTTTGTCTGCGTGTCGTCTGCTATCTTTCGCTGGTCGGCTGCACCTTCAGACGCTGCTCCCGACGGATTTCACCGAGCAAGACGTCTCTTGTGGATGTGGTGTGCTTGAGTGTTGTGCACGAGCACGGTGTGTGTGAAGGCATCTCCAAATGCCCCTCCGCGAGCCCAAACTTTGTCGCGTCTACGCCGAAGCCTTCTCGAGCAGGACCATGCCTGTGTCACTGTCATGCTTTGGGTTAGTAAAGTTAGTGGCGCTTCGCGCGAAGCCTGTCGCGGTGTTTTGTCTCGATCTGTACGTAACGGCGGCCTACGATTCTTTATCGCGGTAGCAAACGTCGATTTCTCTCTTGCACAACGGTGCCACGGTGCGATGTTTGAATTTTGCAACACTGTGGGGTGGTGAACAGGTTCGGTCTGTCCTCGCTGGCGTCTGCTCGTCGTCTCCCTCGTGTGAATGCGCTTAGGAGACGGACGAACCGTGGACATGTCGTCACGTGATCAATCCGTCCACGGATCAGTTCGTCGTGTGAATACCCGTTTCACAGGGAAAATAGTGTCTTTCCCCAAAACAATATGGAAAATATATTCTCAATTTAGCGGTTCGAGCCAGTTTGAATTTGTTTTTTTTTGTTTTTTTCGTGGTGCAAAACTGAACCGAAAACCGTCAACCCAAAGCACCAAGGAGCATGCTACGAGTGAAGTGACACGTGCTGCATGTGCTGCAGTCTGCAGCAGAAGCTGTTTTAAAGCAAAAACCTAAAGCAAATGGGGCATCTTCTTTGTGCATTCGTGAACGCCCTATTTTGGTAATTTACTTCAAATCTTTTATGTGGGGAAGGTGAGCGCATGAGGCGTGTTGACCTACATTCCTAGCATTTTCGGTGATGCTAGGATAATTTAGCAATAGGTCTATTACTCTGGCTGGCGTCGTCTATTTCGTGTTGCTTTGTCGAGCCTCGCATAGCTTCCACAGTGCATGACTGCTGCACTGTGGAAGCTACACTCGCAGTGATGTGATTGTTGCGCCCAAGGGCTCAACCTGCTACATCCTGCTACATTTTACCGAAATGTGAGGAATTTGTACCAACATTGCGCAGAAACTTCATTTCACATTAATAATCCTGGAAATGAATTGCTCAGGCCTTGCTACCCAGCCGGATTGTTATGATATGCCTGTGCAGGTTTTCAGAACTTTCGATAATCACCTCAGATAACATACTATTCAATTTGATTTCGCGTCACACACTGGCGCCACTAGGAAGTTTGGCAATTATTCTCATGTTGATTGTTTGTCCTGGCAGGTTAGTATCGTTGAGTGGGTTGCTCCGCACGCACTGATGTACTGCAGTGACGCGACAAACGCAAAGTAGTCATCGAGATTTCGCTTGTCTTGCT